TTTATCTGTGTCCTCTCTAGATTTATTAATCATGTCTTGCACTATGGGCACAATCTCTGCTGTTATCTTAGAAATTATTTCTGATTTCATTTTTTCCAGGTCCTCTTTTGTTGCCAGTTCAGGGAGTCCATGTGGTTGAGTATCAGATTGTTCCATCTTGTTTCCCTTTGGGGTTGCTGTAGGTGATCTGGAAGTCTGTTTTTGAGGTTTGTTTACATGTCTTCTCATTTCCACTGGGTGGGCGTTGCTACTGGTGCCCACATGGCTCACCTTCTCTGCCCTGGGAGCTGTGGAATGGCCAACGGGGAGCCTCCTCCTGGGCGTTCCCATGTTTTATTTTTTATCTTTTTTTTTTTTTTTGAGACAGGGTCTCACTATGTATCTCAGGCTGGCTTTGAACTCACTTTGTAGCCCAGGCTGATCTCAGACTCATGATGTAGGCCAGGCTGGCTGCAAACTCTCAGTGATCCTTCTGCCTCAGCCTCCCCAGTGCTGGGATTACAGGCCTGTGCCACCATGGCTGGCTCCAGAATCATGTTTTATGAAGGCCCCAGCAGAGGAGGGATCCTGGAACCTCCAGTTTTTAGGGTCTTTTCACATCCTGCTATTCTGCTTCATACCTCACTCCTGTGCCCACACCTATTCTTATGTCACTAGGAGCTGTGCTGATTTTGAGACTCCCAGCCGACCAAAGCCTCCTTCCTTCACCTTTACTTCCTGCTTCATATAGTCCTCCTTCTCCACCTCTTCTTCTTTTGCGGTACTAGTGATTGAACCTAGGGCTACATCTCTGGCTCTTTTTTATTTTTTGAGACAGGGTCCTCATAAGTGGCCAAATTGCCCAGCTGGGACTTGAACTTGCCATCCTCCAGCTTCAGCCTTCCAGAGTACTGGGATTATAGCCCCAGGCCACCACACCCAGCTTTGTTCTTCTGTTCTTCTCCTTACAGAGTCCGGACCCTGGAGCTTGCCCTGTGCCCCCTACTTTCTCGAAGACTGCTTTTCTTCTCTCTTCATTTTCTTGCCCCTGCCAGCTCCCTCAAAACCTATTTCTCTGCTCCCAGTCTTAGATAAGCTCTGAGCATCCACCTCCAGTGGTATCATCCCCCAAATCAAAGTTGGTTAATGATTTACTTTCCTACAAACCTCCAGAGATTTTCCACAAGCCACGGGACTGTGGCACTAAGGATGAAGGCCTGTTCCCAGAAGGCCTCACTCATCTCAGCCTTTCTCAGCCTCATCTCCTTGCCTGTCCTCTACCAGCTCAGTGAGCCTTCTTGCTGAACTTCTGGGCTTTAGCCATGCCCCCCCATGAACCTGCACCTGTGTAGCAGCTATTTCCCTTACTTATTCTCTCTGTGGCTGACTCACATCTTATTTTAAAATCCAGTTCTTTCTATGGGTAAATATATCTTCATGTCAAGGTGCAGAGCAAGGCCACCAAGGATGTCCCACAAACATAAACCATTGTTACCTCTGTGGAGGACCCCAGGCAATCAGGATTGAGGGAGAGAGTTGGTCAAAGGGTACTTTAGCCTTATCTGTAAAGTTTCTACTTTTTTTTTTTCGATATTTAGGATCAAACCCAAGGCCTTGTGCGTGCTAGACAAGCACTCTACCACTGATACACACCACCCAGCCCTTCTATTTTTTTTTTTTACAAGGAGCTCATATCATGTATTTATTACTTGTGAGATATACAAAACAAACAAGTATTCAATACCAGGAAGCCTTCCCTAGACATCTCAGGCAGATGGAGCTGTTTCCTTTTCTGGGATCAAATAAAACTGTGTTCTGTGATCTAGAAAATATTGGTTTATTGTAACATGTTTGTGCCTATCTTTCTCTCTCTGAGATAGCAAATCCCCTCAAAGGTACAAACTTTATCTAATTCATGCTCCTTGTAAAGAGTGGGTGTTCAGGAAGTGCCAAATTCAATAAAGTGCCTTCCCTAGTGGTTTCTTCCAAAGTGCTCGTATGGGGCAGGCTTGATGCTGATCCTGAGAGGCTGGTTTAGTTGTTTTCAGTGTTCAAATAATAATGTCTCTAAGAGTCTGAAATGTGAGTGGCAGTCTCTAGACCACCGGGTTTTGCTTACATGAGGGCAGGACTGCTTTGGGGCCCCACAAGATCAGTATCTAGTGGAGTGCCATTGACTTGTCCCTTGGCACACTTCTGAAGCCACTGCTGCCACAGTAGCTAACTGAAAGCAAGGGGTATAGCCCCAAACTTGTTAAACCCAGTTCTGACCTGTATTTCTAAGATGGAGAGGCCAGCCCAAACAAGCTGTCTCCAAACGAGGTGGGCCAGGGAAGCAGGAGTTAGGTGACACCGAGACCAGCTAGCTGTGTGTTCCAGGGTTGGAGGAAGGGGCTGAACAGCTGTCTGAGGGGCTCGAAGAAGGCAGCTGAAATCCCAGTTTAATGGTGGGAGGCTATTGTTTTGCAATTTTCTCTTTGTTTTTTAAAATGAGTATATATTTGCAATATATAATACATTTATCTTGGGAAACTGGTACATATACATACTACATTTTAGTAATTTTTATTTCCTCCTTCTCCCCACCCTCCCATTTCTCTCTATCCTCAGCTTCCCTTTCCATCTCCACAAAAATCTCCCTGCTTCCTATTTATCTTTTATTTTACTGTTATTTATATTTTGGGCTTCTCATAAAAGAGGGACCAGGAAATTCTGTGTCTAATTTATTTCACTTAGCCTTATGGGCTCAAGGTGCATCCATTTTCCTACAAATGACTTGTTTATCCTTTTTGATAGCAGAGTAGCAATTTTTGAGCTCCCAGGTGAGAGAACCCTATGGATTATCCATGCACATAGGCAAAAGGGTAAGCAATGGCCTTAATGGGCCAATTGGACTGGTGCTTTTAAAATTTATTTTTATTTTTATTTTTTTGGAGACAGGGTCTGGTGGCTATGTAGCCCAGACTGGTTTCAAACTCCCAGTGATCCTCCTGCCTCCGTCTCCTGAGTGCTGGGATTACAGGGGTGTGCCACCACACCTAGCAGGGACTGGTGCCTCTTGGAGTTAGTGAAGTGTGTGCCATGTAGCTAGGGATGTGCCTTTAGACTTGATGTACCGGTGGTGAGGAGGCTACAGAAAGGTTTCAGTCAGTCTGTCTTCCAAGAATGGCCCAACCAGCCCCTGTAGTCAACCTTGAATAGAAAGGACAGGGTTCCTGGGGCCTCAGCACAATGAGGGTAGGTACTTGGACTCCTGAGGAGGTAAGGGTAGTGGTAATGGCAGCAGGAATGTGGAGAACAGCCCCCCTGCAGTCCTTCCACTATGGGCCTCTGAACTGCTGGAAAGACATCAGACCACACTGCACACCTGTAGACCTCCATGAAGAACACTTCCAGTCAGCCTGTCTCTTTGCAAGTAACTTTTATTTTTATTTACAACAGAATTGGTGGCTTTATTCCTCCATCTTTAGGGATACTTGGCATCAGCAGCCAGAGGGAAAGTCCGCAGTGAAGTCAAACTCATTCTGCCCCAGCCACAGCTCCGGAAGCTCATTGGCTCGGTCCAGTCCCAGTTCCACCACCAGCGACATCAGCACTTCCTCATCCACTGGATCTGAATCGATTATAGCAGGGCTCTGGGCACCAGTAGGAGAAAGGGTCCCCACTCCTCCCACCTGAGCCCCAAAACCCCAGTTTTGCAGGGGCCCAGCCTCCCCTGGTTGGCTGGGAGTGGCAGCGGCCATCCCATGATACTGGCTATTAAGTTTCTGCAGCTGCATACTGGCCAGCAGGTGAGGGGCAGGGTGCAGGTTGAAGGGTGGGGGCTTAGTGGGAGGGGTGGCAGTAGGAGAGCTAATTGGAGATGGAGATCCTGAGGAGCTAGTGGAAACCCCGCTAGCCTTGGTTCCATTTGAGGCCACCCCAGGGTAGTGCAGGATGGCCACTGCTTTTCGATCTTTCACCCCTAGGTTAGAGTAGGCCAGAGTGTTCATCTCCTGGTTGGCATCCTAGAAGACACAAAAAGGCATACCATAGGACCCTTGCTCCTGGCTTGTCCTCACCTTTCCTCAGAACGGGAAGGTTCCTTCATGTATTTCATTTGGGACTAGAGGTAGGGAGGCAGCAGGATGAGCTCCTGGCAAGTTAGGCCCTCAACCCAAATATCCTGTTGGTACCATGTATCTGAGCAGAGTTCAGACCCAGTTCTTGTAATGGGGCACCCACCATCATGAATTGACAGCTTTCTTTTCCCTCCCAGGACCCTTCACCCCACTTTTCAAAAAAGAGCTTCCCCTTGTCCCTCTTTTTAGCCTCATTTTAATCTCTTTAATATGGTGGTCTTGTTCCATTTCTGTTTCTCTGCTCCCTTCCCTGCCACCTTTCAACACCCATGGTGGGTTCAATATGATCACATGTAGGCAAAAATTATTCTCATTCTCCCCAGAGAAAAGTGGTGTCTTTTCTCTGCCAAGGATACTAGCTAGATATCACAGCTAGGAGGGCCTGGCACATGATGTTCCAATAGATTGTCTTTTCTTGCCTCTGTGTTTCCATCTGCAAAATAGCAAAACTCACCTCCTTCACAGGGGAGGTGCCACCCTTGACGTCCAGTGCAGGCCTCGACATAGTTGGCATTTCAGAGTCTTGGCAGAAGTGGAATAAACTGGGCGGAGGTGACACTGCCAGCTGGAGCTGCTGCGCTACAAGGGAGAAGAAATGATGAGGGCAAAATGCTTCACTGACCAAGAGAGCATTTGTGAAGCCCCAAGCAGAGCAACTCCACACAGCTGCAAGGCAAGGGTGATGACAGGGTTAAGCCCAATACTAGAGACCACCTGGGCTAAAGGAAGAGACCAAGCTGAAACTTTACCTGAGGCTGCAAGGTGCTTGATTCATCCAGGTACTGCCCAGGCGGCCAGCTGCCTACACTGTCAAGAGGGGACACTTTCTTCATGAAAGTGATTTCCAAGTTCTAAGTTGGGGGTGGAGGTAGGAGTAGAGGATGATGTGGTCCTGGTTTCGAGGGAAGAAAGGTCCCTGAGTAAGCAGCATAATGTATCAGTGGACCATTAGTGTTCCAGCTGGAGAGCTGAGGGCTCCACTGTAATTGGGGGAATGTGGGAAGAATTCAGGGCAAGTAAGACCTCAAAAGCTGGAGGCTGCAGCATGGGAAACCAGCAAGTCCTCAAAGCTAGTGTCATGGGCTCCAAAGCCCTAGTCCAGGCATGTCTGAGATGCTGGGCCAATCAGGGCAGTTTGTGGGTTCTGAGGCAGCAGGAGCCAGAGAGCAGCTAGAATATCTGTTTCCTCCATGTCTCAAGCCCCCTCCAAGACAGTCCCCAGCATTAGGCTTTCCCAGGAGCCCTAAGCCCAACTGCACTCATCTGTAGTGACAGGTGGGAATAATTCTTCCTGGAGGGAAACTGAGGCATGGAGATTCAATGGCCTTCCAGTCAGGAGGCAGTGGTTCTGGAAGCAGAATCTAGCACTCTTATTCCCACGTGCTTCACCTGACCACTGGCCAAATCCTCATACCTGACATGACTCAGATGCCTTCCAAACAAATGATCCTCTGGCTCAAATGCTGAGAAGGGATACTTGGGGCAAAAGGATACTCCCACATCTGACAATTTAAAAACCTTCTGAAAATTCTCAAGTTAATTTCCTAGAAGCTTGTTTTTAAAAAGCCCCGTGTATTCTAGCTTTCATGGTCAATTAGAGATTTAGAATTCCACATTCATAAATACTTCTTGATCCAAAGAATCCCGAGCAGTTTAAAAGGAGTCTTCAAGCTTTCCAAGGAGGGTAGAATTCCCTGAAATACTATCCCTCTCTCCACCTTTGGCTTGAGTGGTCATTAGGACTCTGCTCAGACACTTCTAGAAAGTGGCCACTCACTGCCTCTCTGTATCATCTTTGCCCTGACCACTTACTTATGGCTGAGGAGCAAGGAAAAATAGAGAAAGAAAGGGGAAAAAATACGGTGGAAAAAAAAATCAGTTGCTGGGTCCTGCACCACTGCTTGGTTGGACCCTTGCTCCTCTGAGGCAACCCTGAAATATTTAAAGCCAGTGATCACAAGACAAGGACTCTAATGCAAGCTATCTTCAAAAACCGAGGCACATTCAGTATCGGGCAAATTTTAAGTCTTAAGAAAAATACCTGAGGCGCACTCCCCATTTTCCCCCCTTCCTAACCAGCCTTCCCCTCTCCTTTATGCAGCCTAGTACCCGATTGTACAAAAGAAAAAAAAACACACAACAGAAACGTTAACTGGAGAGAGGGAGAGAGAAATGAGGCGGGGGGAGGGAGAGAGAGAGAGATATCTTGCATCCGTTAACAGTTCGCTTGAAGACCATTTTACCCTGTACCCTGTCTCCCCTTTCAGGCTGTGAGCTCCTGAGGCGAGAGTGGGAACCTATATCTCCATTCAGCTGTGTCACCTCTGGCAACATCACGCCGCACGCCCTAACCCCTGGTCCTGGGTCCGTGCTACCTAAGTAGGCGCTCAATTTCGATCGGTATCCCTGGCCCCGCTCCCCCTATTTTTTGTCCTCCCCCTCTTACCACCCCCCACTGGAGAGCAAAACTTGGGGACGCGGAAACGTCCCAGTCTGCTGTCCAACCCGCGAGCTGACCCCTGAGAAGCGGCTGCCAGAGGCGGCCGAGAGACCGAGAGCAACAAGTGCCTCCTCGCCGGGTGGCTCTTTGCAGCCGCCGGCCGCCAGTTCCCAGTCCCACCGCCCGCCCTCCGCTTCAGACCTTCCCTTGGGAGGGCGGCCCCTTCCACGTAGATGAGAGAGGGGGCGAGAAAGAGTGGGGAGAGGCAGGTGTGTCTGTGGGGGTACTCATCTTTAACCTGAGGTGGACCAAAAGTTAAAATGGCACCAACCGGATGGCTCCATCTCGATTGCTATTTTTCACTGAGGAGAAATTTAAGAATTCAAACACCGCGGCTTGGCGTGGCTGAGCTCAAACCAGACCAGTCAGTTTCGCTACCTGAAAACTAAAGGCCCCTTGTTCGCAGAGAGCTCAGCTGCCCTCTCGCCGCATCCCTGACGGAGCCGCCGGGCGCATCCCGGCGCGGGTCGCGAGCACGCAGGCCACTAGGGCCCGGGCGTCCTCGGCCACAACACCTCCCAGAGCAGACCCCAGAGACCCGGCCGGGGGCCAAGGAGGGGCGCGGGGGTTCGGCCGCGGCGGTGTCAGGCACCCTGGGGGACTGCGCCTCTCCCCGCTGGGCGAGCGGCCGCTGACGGAGCCTGCCGGCCGCCAAAGCGCGAGAGTGGCTCGGGGAGGTGCGGCAACTTGCCCAAGGTCACAGCGCTAGAAAGTGGCTGAGCCTGGCTTCGCAGCTCCGGCTGTATGAGTGCGAAATCGGCGCTCGTGAGGCAGGGACTCCGTGCGTTGCCCCCACCCCCGTTTATAGGGAGAGAGGTGTGCGCGCGCGCGTGTGTGCGTGTGTGTAGACCAGAGGTCGACTGTGTAGTGGAGGCAAGTTGTCCACATTCGCTAACTTCCATTCCGCAATTCCTCCAAACTCGGCCCGAAAAGCCCCCGTCACTTCCAGTCCCCGAAAGAAATCTAAGCTTTGTGCAGCCCCCGAGCCGGGGCGTGCAGATGCGGTCTGGGTGAGGAGCAAAGTCGGTGGACGCCGAGCTTGAGAAAGCGCGGGCGCGGGGGGAACAGGCGCTGGGAGAAGCGGACCTTCAGTCCTGCGGGACGGCGGCGGCGGTCCCTCCGCCCCCAGCAGAGCAGCTTTCCAACAGAAAATAAGTCCCTCAGAGCCCCCAGGCCTGCCGGCCGCCGCCCTCCGGCTGCCCGCGCCCGCTCCGTGGGGGTCCCCGGCCCCGCCGCCCAACTCAGCACCCCATCGGGCGGACCGGCTTACCTCCACCGAGCCGCCTGCGCTGGAGAGAGGGGAGTGCGGACGCCGTAAGGCGAGGGCGAAGCGGCGCAGCCCTCAGCCCCTTGGCATGCACGCAGCCGCCGCCGCGAGCCGGTCGCGCTCTGTGCCCGCGTCCGCGCGGGTGGCCAGTCGACCCCGGGGCGCCCGGGAAAAGCCCGAACCGCCGCGCCGCGCCGCCGCACCGCACCGTGCCGCGCCCGCTCGCCCGCAGCTTCGGCACAGGACTCCGGGGCGGTGGCGGCGACGGCCACCGCGCTCCCTTCGCGGCGCGAGGGACCCAGCTCTCAAGCCCCCATTGCCGCCCGGAGAGCCCTGAAGCACACGCACGAGGGAGGCAGCAGGCTGGCCTGGGCTAGGAATCCCAGGAAGGACAGAGGCCCCCCCCCCCCATTTCCACGTCTTTATAACCGGCTTAGGGCATTATTAGCACATGTCCTGGCTCGAGGGCGAGTTGGTGGCAAAATCTGAACTGGATACTCACGGAGGGCCCTAGAGGGTGTTGAGCCTTCCTCTGCCTTCTTCCCGGTCGCCGGGAATGGTCCCTTGCCGACGGGCTGTGGGAGGGCAGCCGGGCGGGACGTCTCCTCTCCTCAGCTCAGTGGTGCCCCTTCTGCAGCTGTGCCGCTGGGAACATTTTATAGCGGCGGCTGGCGTGTGTGGCCCTTTAAAGGCGCTCGAGCTGGTGCAGTCACCCCGGTTCGTGTGAAAGCGAAGGGCCGGCTGGGGAACGGAGTCCGCGCGGCCGGCCTGTGGGGCAGCCTTGGGGACGGGCCACAGCTTCGAGGGCGGGGCTGGCGGGCCGGGCTTCTGGACACCCTCTCCCTGTGCGCCCGCTCATGCTTGTACCTCTACAGTTGGCAGGGGCCTGGACCTGGGACCTGGGCTCTCCCCACCGCCCTGCATGGACTTGCCCAATAAATTCCACTTAGTAATTTCACTGAGGCAAGGGAGAGCTGCTAGTGTTTGTTTTCTGACCTAAATCTAGCGGATGGCCAGAGCGGGCTTCAGGGCGTAAGAGGAAGAGCTGTAGGCTCTGGAAATGACCCAGAAGAGGGGACGCACACTGGACGGGACGGGCAGGCGGGGCACTGTCTTAGTTTTCTGCTGGGTTTGTTTGGAGCCTTTCTGCCCTCTTTGGGCTGCACTGTCAACCTCGTTAAAGGCCGAGGCTGAGGTGTATGTGAGTGTGGGTTCCATTCCCTTAAAATCGTCAATTTTGGGCAGAGCCACTCGGAGGGCCTATAGAGCAGCTGCGGCTTCTCTCGAAGGCCTGAGGAGGGGTTGGTTTGGTGGGTTTCTGTCCTGTGGTCACCCAAGGCAGAAGGAGGCTGGCAGGATGCTATGCTGAGAAATGCTGCTCTGCCAGACCATGGGGCCAGGTGCAGCTCCTGGGGCTTGTGAAAAAGCCAAGAACAGGCATCAGGGTTGGAAAAGCTTGCCCCAGGGCTTGTAGACATTCCTCTTGCCTTTCCACAATGCCAGGTTATTTTATTATGATTATATAATCATCCTCATCTAGTAAAAATAACATTTTGCATTTGGCCCACATCTTTCTTGGGTTAGGATCTTATCTTACAAATCCTTACTAGAAAGGGATCTGGGTCTTTCAATTCGTGGTCCTCCTGACCAAAAAACTCACCACACCTCTTACAGGAAGGTTACCAAGATTATCCCTGTGAAACTCCCCCTCAATTTTGCAGCCGTTCAGCAACAACTACACAGTTTACACTGTTTATAAAACATGCTGTTTTAAAAAAGTTTCGATGGCCTGGTGTGGTGGTACAGGCCTGTGTTCCCAGCATTTGGGAGGCTGAGGCCAGCATGGACTACATTGTATATGTGCTGCCGAAGCAAGCACAACATGGACTACATTGTGAGTTCAAGGCCAGCCTGAACTACATAGCAAGACCCTGTCTCAAAAATAAATAAATAAATAAACAAATAAATAAATAAATAAGTCCCAATGTCAACGAAAGGGAGAAGAATGTCAAGAAGTCATTTTTGCTATGTATATATGTATGTATGTATGTGTTCAATCTTCTTAATTGGATTTGAAGACCTGAATTTCTTTTTCTTTTCTTTTTAATATCTCCAAGTGCCTGGCGTTTGCTCTTCTAACAAAGTTGCATGTTGACAAATTGACCACCTTATTGACAAAGACAGGGAGGAAACAGAGGGACCAATGAAGGTCCTTCCTTGGCAACTGGAGGAAGCCCTTGGTGAGTGCCATGGATGCTAGGTAAAATCTCCTCATCCACTTGTCCCCAAAATGAACTCTAGTAAGAATAACATCCTACAAATCATTGCTGCTCTTTTTCACTTTGCCCAAAGATTGTAGGTCATGCCTATTTTCCCTCTAATAAAAGGCGGGATCTGTCCTTGATACCCTAAGTCCCTGTATTTGCCTGAGAAATACAACCTCAAGCCTACTTGGTGTTTGTCTGGGTTGGGAAAAAGTGTTTCTGCAGAAACCAACTGGCAGAGAGGGAGCAGCTCTAGACTTTTGAATTGTGTGTTGCTAATTTGGCCCACCATCCACCACCCCCCTAACTCAGTCAGGAACCCCTGTGGAAGCCGCGTCAGCATCTGGGCTGCCGGCTCCGGATCCGAGAGGTGCAGATCCGCCCTCCATCAATTGGATGGCTCCCAGGCCAATTGTTAGAAAGAGGCATATGTTCATCTTGGCTTCTGGAG